GGATATTTCCCCTACAACTACAACTGCCGTTTGTCTCTGACTAGCCGACTCCTTTTCGAATTCCTCAGCCTACGCCTTGTGGTCTAAGGTCGGCTTCTAGCGCTGCCTAATTAAGCGGAGGTCAACTATCAAGCCACGCCTACCTCCGCTCTATAAGACCTCACCTTGCCGTGACCTGCCCCTTCTTCTACCTACAGCCACGCAGCAAGCAACACCTCCTCTGAGCATGCTCCCGAACCAGCTCTCTCTACTCCACGCTTGTAACCACGCTGCCACTTCCCAGCACCAAGCTGCACTGTACATCCAATACAATATATATGCAGAGAGCGCATTGTAAGTTTGCTTTCTCCAACCCATCCTGAGTGTGAACCAACATCACAAAACCCCACAGACCCTCTGGCATGGGGTTTTAATATAACTTTGAACCCAAGAATTTATCAAATGCTAAGATCGTCCTTTTTCATTCAGAGACCCCCTCGGCCTAAGAGAATCCCACCTTGGTCTTTAGGTAAAGTTACTAAATTTCTTATGGGGCCTAATATGCTGCCCATTCTGGGGTCACTAATTCTAAGTGGATAACTTAAATCTACTCTTAATTTTAAGGTCGCTGCCACCAGACCCCCTGGAAAGTATGTACTGTAGTTTGTTTAGGTAGCTGGCAGAGCAAGCCGGGCAGTGGGTTGGGTTTCTCATTGACCAAATTGAAAGTGGGAAGAAGGGTGAAACATCAATCATGACTTAACTAATTTATTACTTATAAAAACATATTGCATCCAGTCACAATACAAAAAGATTTTTCCTTCATCAGAATAACCACTATTATGTTCATTACACTTCACATCAGTATACGTCTTTCATCAAATAACTACTATTATCATCTTCATTCTTCATAACAACCAATGACCTCCTAACCTCAGTCACTCGTTCTTCCCATAACACCCAACACATCAGACTGCACCACCTGTTAGAGTATACCACCACATCTCAGGTACACTCCACACCTACAAGTATGGAACTCCTCGGTATGCTTAGGTACACATACCAGGTACCTCGTGCACACTCTACTCTTGCTAAGTAGATGGGATACTTCCCAGGAAATCATACCAGTACTGGTTCCATGCCTGGTATTCTTAGGTCGCCCCATGTGGCGACTGCGAAACTTCTCAAACACACAATTATGTTTTCCTATCCTAGGTGGTGATATGTAGGGTATCCACAGATTCACAGTGGGGGAGCATAATGGCACAAGCAGAACACACCACACCCGGTTGGTTCCTCACAGTGGAGCAGTGGTGGTGGCTTGGCCGATGCTCTGGGCGAGTACCTGTTTTGGTGAGAAGCCGGGCGTCACTGAGAATAATGCCTGAGGGGCTTTGATCACCACGCATTATTGCAACTATTGCTTCACTTTATAACATTAGGCAAGGTTTTAAGATGTAAAAAATGCTAAATAAGTCTTTTTAGGGCTGAATGGAGCACGATGGAGTTTACTGACCTATTTTGGTGAGAAGCCGGGCGCCACTGAGGGCGATGCCTGGCGTCTCACACTGAACTAGGCCTACAGTTTCCAAACTTTAATTTTCACTTTGATATTATTCTGGTTCTCACATATACACTTTCCTATCTATTGTGACCTTATGCCTCATAATTATATATCTTAATTCTAAATTACTAAAGTAAGAGTCTGATTTGCTAGTTCCTGGGGAAATTCATTAGGTTAAAACATTAATTCAGCACCGTGGCGGCCTAGGCGCCAACCCGAACAAAAGCCTAGCGTCGTGGTTTCATGGCGTGGGTATACCCACTTCACTTCACTCTGTATTTAGGGATCCTTCCCTCACACGTTGCAATCATTGAACACATTCATAAGATTCTCTGATCCTTGCACTGTTCGTGGTTATTCGTCACATGGGGTAACGAGGTGTACTAAGCTCACACCGAGGTATACAAGATATTCTGTTTGAAACATAGTTTCTGGATCACTTCCAACACTTCACATAGGTCTGATACATGTATCCTTTTTCCAGATCATTGTTCTCATATATTTTCATCTGATATCTGCGGTAGCTATGTTTACTAATTGTTCACTGACGTAAATATGATGATCTTCAGACACGGTCTACACACAGTTACACTTATCCCTTATAGTACACTAGTCTGTATCAATTGGACCTTCCCAATCATCCTATAGGTATCTTGAGTTCTCCTTAATGCTATCAGTACATACTCTTAATATTATATGTCTGTACATTGGTACAATTCGTCTAAAACAATGTACACTCGCACCAAAAAGTATCGGTGCAGGGTGAGAGCGACGAGTTCCGAAACGATACGTATACCCTGCGATATGTCGGGAAGATTGGTAAGTGTATCCTCATAACCCCCCCCCCCCTCCATTAGGTGTTGCCATATGGCTGACAATCAGGGTTGCCAACATACAGCTGGAACAACTCGCCTTTCCCAATACCTATCGTCACTGGTCTCAAATTGTTCACACTACAGTATGCACCGATACTTTTTGTTGCAAGTGTACAGTTGGTGAGTTATCCTTTACCAAAGTTTCCCGTTTTCTGTGACACTACAAGCATGGTGGATTTGAATGTTATGTAGCGTAATATAAATTAAAGAGATATTAAGGATGACAATGATGTGCGCTGTACACTAATTGCAATATAAATCTGAACCTGGACAGATTGCTCCAGAAGGCAGCCTTCCTTCTAGCAATAGCAACAGGTATGAGAATCAGTGAGCTGATTTCAATTATCAATTATCCATCATTATTGGTATTTTCTGAGGAATATGTCACCCCTTTTCCTACGGAGATCCTAAGACAAAATGAAAGGGAGGATTTTCAAGCTCAACTTATCAGGATAAATCGGCTAATGGATGAGACAAGGGTTCCTCATATATTGTGCCCAGTTAGGAATCTTCAAGAATGGTGAACCAGATTCCCTAATCGAGGCCCCTATGTATTCTCATCACAAGATGGTAAGAAATTGTCTTCTAGTCAAATGACAAAATATTTATCTCGGTTAGTGAGTCAAGCAGACCCTGGCAAGAAATTTTTGGCACATGACACCAGGATATATGCAGGGTCTGTGGCCTTTCTGCGACATATGAACCTCAGTCCGATCAAGAAGTGGGCTTTTGGAAATCTTCAAAAACCTTTCAGAACAGCTATCTTCATGTATCTCTGAAAGATGCTTCACGTGTGGTGGTGCTGGGGTCCCCTCCCCACCTAGTCAATCTCCACAACCAGGACCGTCTTCCTCATCAGAGTAAAGTGAGTACAGTATCCTAATTGGGATACGTAAATTAACATTTTACCTTCCGGTAAATGTTCCTAAAGGTTTATAATTATAATGTGGACTTAAGCTAACGGAGCCTTATACGCAATGTCACCTCCCTCTCCACCTCCTGCTCGGGTAATGAAAGCTAGATGTCGCTTTCTGGATTGAACAAAAAGCCGTTTTTTTTCTAAAAAACAGTTTTTGTAATATGGTTCAGCATGCTACGTCGACATCCCACCGATTTCCACCCCTCGAGAGTTGACATTTGTTTACTGCTTGCTCTAGGGCAAGAGATGACGGTAGCAATGCATGTGATGGAGGGTGCGGGAGGGGGATTTGAGAATTGCAATTAAATGCCAGGTAGCGACGTGTCCTCCTAATATTACGTATTTAAGTAATTATTAGATGTTTTAATTGCCTGTATGTTGGCCTGGCGAGTTAATGCTAGGCATTTACATACCTAGGTATAAAGCTAGACGTCGCATTCTGGACTATATCACAAAATTTTTGAAAAAAAAAAAAAACGTCTTTTTCGAGTATTTTAACTAATAAAATTACCCACAATATTACTTGCTCAAAGTGGGCTGTGCTTTGAAGTACATTAGAAGGAAAATGTAGGATAAATTAATAAAAAGAACACAAACAAACCTTTGAAAACCTTACCTAACCTTTCCTAACTTATAAAAAATTTAAGAATCGCTTTTGAGTTTATGAATCCCTCCTCTGAACATAGAAAACATGCGTAAGGTAAGCTTTTTAAAGTTATAGGATTTTTAAAGGTTAGGTTGTAAGGGTCCCATTTCCTTACTTCATATTTATTCTCTTTATTCTTCTTTTCTATATGTATATACTTATATTCTTCTACTCTGAGTCTCTCTCTTATGAGTATCTATCTTATATTTCTTTGCTTATATTTTCTAAGTTAATTTTCTTTTCTTTACTTCTTTAATTGTTTCATATATATTATTGTATTTTTCTGAATTTCATGTCCTTACTTTCTCTCAATTATATCCTGTTGTAGTTATATTCTAAACCATGGATTAGTCTGGGAACCGTGTCATTCTTATTATAACACTTATTACTTACAACGGCAGCCTGCCACCACCCAGAATTTTATTAAAATATAACATATCTTATTGAACTGTTAGGTAGCGTGCTAGCGAGCTTCTAGGCATGTGAGTTACAATAGTTATTTTCTGAGAACCAACAGGTAGAAGGAATAGAGCGGTGATACTTGTAGTTTACTTATCCAATATTTATTAACATATGGAGTGAACAAGATGTTAATTAATTACACTCAGACAAGACTGGACCACTTAAGTCTTACTTTACATTAATAGCAAAATAAATATTCATTTCTTGATTACAACATTACACTCATTATATTACTTCATTGTCAATACAGATGATTATATAACACACCCGACAAGATCAAAAATTAAGATATTATTAAACATATGTTAGTTTGGAATGAACAACATGGCACTTTAACTAGCCTCAGTGGTCGTACACCTGGTTGGTGGACTCAACTCCGATAACAACGGTACCACTAGTAACCCCAACATTCATGGGTTTCATACTCAACCTGGGATAACTACGGTATATTTCTGCTAATTAATCCCCAATCATAGATACTATACTGCTCACTACATATAACCACGGTCAGTGGAACGGACAAGACCGAGTCCACTAGATGCGGGAGTTGCTTACGCCACAGACAGCCGAGGCTCGCTCTCAAGGAGCGCCCGGGGGTAGACTCGGTGCAGTGTCTCCACACGGCGTTCCCTGGGTAATCTTGTCCTCGGATTCTTATCCCGCCATATTAAAGACATCCTTCAAGAACCATCTTGCCCATAGGCGGCTACCGAACCTCGGTAGTGTGCCAACACAGACAGTGCCTGGAGATGCATTGCGGAAGAGTCATGAGCGTGTCAATGTCTAACTCAAATACTCAAAACTTTACGTCTGGCAGCAATACAGACGACACTTACTTTACTCGAATTACTTGGTACATGATTATTTCACTATGTACTATGTTAAAACATGAACACTGATATTCACAAAATCGACTAAGTAAAACTGACTTAACATGGCGGCGGGAAACAATCGTTCACATACCTGGAGATGCGTTGAGGAAGAGTCACGAGCGTGTGATTCTTCATTGTGCATTAGTATATATGTGAGCCTGGGGCAGTTCCGGCCTACGCATATACACCAGCAAGGCTAATCTCACCAACAACAGAAATTCTATTCAACTCGGTCATTGTACACTGAACAGTGAACGTCAGTGTCACGGGTCAGGTGAATTTCTTATGTCTATTGTTATAATCTAATCAGAGACTGAGTTTGTCAGGAAAAAGTGAAATGGACGTTAAAGACGCACTAACAACTCTACTTACAGGAAACCACAGACCACAGCCAAGGAATTCTTCCTGAGGAGAGCTGTTAGGTCTTAGAGATTTTGAGTTTGACAGGGAGCAGGTGTCCTCCTGCGCCTCACACTTGTTGACAGTGTGTCCGTAGTGCTGGCATTTGTAATAGCGTTTCGGTCTGCAGTAGGGCTTGACTGGCACAGTTACCCACGCCAGTTGAGCCTCCTTGGGTAAGGTTGCATGGTGTCCGATGAGGGCAGTGGTGTCAGACAGCTTCTTGACAACTTGGAGTTGTCCCTTGAGGAGCTCACTCAGCTCTGCTTGGTCCACGTGGGCAATTTCGGCGTGGGAGATTACTCCCAGCTGCAGGTTGTCCCACTTGTAGGCAATCATCTTTATTGGAATGCCGTTGATGTCTGGGATCTCCGCGAGCTGTGCGGGCATACCCTTCTCGGCGAAGGTGATCTTGATGTCACCATGGAGCTTCAGTCGTTCCACCTTGGTGACCCCCATGATCCCATGAGTTTCAAAGAACTTCTTGAGAACTAGGAGGTTTAATTTCTTGGGGCAGGTCGGCGTATCCGGACGTATCCGCGCCACGTTGTCAAACTCGTAACCGTTCATGGTGAGAGAGGGTCAGAGAGTACTCACTGATCTGATCTCCGTTCAAGTTTAGAAGCTCCAAAAGTTGTTGGTAGCGAAAGCCAGAGCGGGGAAAATGACAGAGGAAGGAGCAGGAGGTTAGGAAGGGAATTGTAGTGGGAGAGATAGTGCCGTGGCTTTACACGACTGCGTTTATTTGGTTAGCGCATAGCGCACGTATTTGGTTTTTTGTCTGTGTTGGGTGTGTGATCCTCGGGTCACCACTCCTCCGGATTGTGTCAGTTCAAGTTTAGAAGCTCCAACAACTTTCCCTGAATACGAATTCGCAACCTTTCGATTTACAACAGGTACCTACTTTACTGCTAGGTGAACAGGGACCAAGGGGGCAAGGATGAGTGTCCAAACAACTTTCGCTTGCCCGGGAATCGAACCCGTGACATCTTGCTTGCGAGGCAAGAGCGGTACCGCTTCTACCACAAGCGCCCCCTCAACATGTCCATGGCTAGGCTGAGGTGTATTTATACGAATCTCCAGGATCAGAGAAGCGAGGTGTGAAATGAGTGGCGCCAATCACCGGGCAGTCTGCGAGTGGGACCTGGTCTGTGGAACTCGCTGTTGATTGGCTGGTATCAGACGGCAAGTGATCAGTCAGCAGTTGTAGGGGAGAGTATCCACTACACCCTCACAGTTTTCTGGACTTGCGACTTCTTCAATTTTGAGCCGTGACCCCGTGTGGGACAATGTTCGGTGGATTTGGCATCCTGTGTACCGCCGGCAAGGCCATGGGCTCGTAACACTCGTCTTGCCTGCGGTGCCCACCGTTTCTTTGTGGATGTCGGTCACACGAGAATAACCCGTTATAGTACCTCCTTCTTTCCTCACACAGCCAAACTCTGGAATGCTCTGCCTTCTTCTGTGTTTCCATACTTATACAATCTGTCTCACTTTAAAAAGTTGGTTTTCCAGCATCTTCGTGGTGTAGATTAACACAGTACAGTATAACTTTTTTTTTTTTTTTACGGGATTTAGCCAACCCGGGCACATGTCAAACGACCCACAACGGAGCCTGGGGGCGAAAAAAAAGAACGGAAAGAAATTGAAAATATAGAAAAAAAGGTTATACTGTATTAATCTACACCACGAAGATGCCGGAAAACCAGCTTTTTAAAGTGAGACAGATTGTAAGAGCATGGAAACACAGAAGAAGGCAAAGCATTCCACAGTTTGGCTGTGTGAGGAAAGAAGGAGGTACTATAACGGGTTATTCTCGTGTGACCGACATCCACAGAGAAATGGTGGGCACCGCGGGCAAGACGTGTGTTACGAACCCACGGCCTTGCCGGCGGTACACAGGATGCCAAATCCACCGAATATTGCCCGTTAAAGTACCTGTAAAAGAGAGAGAGTGAAGCAACATTGCGGCGAAGAGAAACGGAAGAGAGATTGTCGACTAAAGGAGAAGAGTTAATAAGACGAAATGCCTTTGATTCCACCCTATCTAATAGTTGGACAGAAGAAGAACCACCCCAGAAATGAGAGCAGTACTCCAAGTTAGGACGAATGAATCCCTTATATACTTGGCGCAACTGCTCAGGAGTGAAGTAGCTGCGGCATCTGTACAGCATTCCCAACTTTCAGGAGGCAGCTTTAGTTATACTAAGGACGTGTGATTTCCAGGACATATTGGAGGAAATGGTGAGGTCTAACATATTTATTTCAGAATTTGGGAGGATGATAGCCTCCTGAAATGTAATTGGTGGGAGATCGTCTAATTTACAAAGTGTAATTGGTAAATATTGAGTTTTGTTACTATTGAACTCAACCAAGTTTGTATCTCCCCATTCAGAGATGCTGCACAGATCCGCGTTGATAGAAGTAATATCAGTTCTAGAAACAGATCTAGTTTGAGAGTTAGGAGGAAGGGGAAAATGTGAGGAAGAGTGAAGAGTAGAATCATCGGCGTAAGAATGGATAGAATTAGTTGTAGTGTGAAGTAAATCATTGATAAAAAGAAGAAAGAGAGTTGGTGAAAGAACAGAACCCTGTGGGACGCCACTATTGGTAGAGAAAGAGCGAGAAATCGATCCCTCGACAACAACTGCCATGGATCGATTCTCAAGGAAGCTAGAGATGAGAGAACAAAGTGGGGGAGAGAAACCAAAAGAGGGAAGTTTAGATAGCAAAGACTTGTGCCATACCCTGTCAAATGCTTTGGAGATGTCGAGGGCCACAACAAAAGTTTCCCCATAATCCCTAAGAGAGCATGACCAAAGATGGGTGCAATAGGAGAGCAGATCACCAGTAGATCTTGCCTGGCGAAAGCCATACTGGTGATCCGACAAAAGAGAAAGGTGTTCAAGGTGACAGAGAAAATGGGAGTTCAAGATAGTTTCGAAAATCTTAGAGAGGGATGAAGTTAGGGCAATGGGGCGATAGTTAGAGGGATTAGAATGGTCACCCTTCTTCGGGATGGGCTGAACCAAGGCATGCTTCCAAGAAGAAGGAAAAGTTTTGGTTTTGAGGCAAAGGCAAAAGAGGCGAGCAAGCACAGGGGCCAGGGCTTCAGCACACTCCCTCAGAACACTAGGGGGTATTCCGTCCGGTCCGTGCGCCTTACTCACATCCAACCTGGATAACACACCGGCAACCCTGCGAGTGGAGATTATAGGAAAGTGCATAGGTTCAGTAGGAGGTGCAGGGGTAGGAGGGGTAGAGTGGGAATCGTCTAAGGTGGAATTAGAGGAGAATAAGGTGCCAAAGAGGTTGGCTTTCTCAGGGGGAGAGTTGGCTATAGAGTTATTGGGACGGAAGAGGGGAGGAAAAGAAGGCCTGCAGAAGTTGTTACAGATGTTTTTAGCTAAGGACCAGAAGGATTTACTCGAGGAAGAATTAGTCAGGACAGCAGTCTTTCTTTTCATAAAATTCCGCTTGGCCCTACGAAGAATAGCCTTACAACGATTCCTAGAAGTAATGAAAGAGGTGTGGGTAATAGGAGGAGATAGTTTCATAGCTCGATATGCCCTATCTCTCACCCTGCAAGCAAGAGAGCAGGAGCGATCAAACCATGATTGTAATGTGAAAGTTTTGGTAGAAGATAGGATAAATGCACTCATACCGCCTTGTATAACCCCAGCAATGCTGTCAGCACATACCGAGGCATCCCGAGTGGAAAAGCAACATTCATCCCAAGGAAAGTCGGTGAAGAATTCTCGCAAGGATTGCCAGCTTGCCCTCCGATAGTGCCATAGTTGACGTTTAGAGGGGGGTGGGGGAGGTGGTCGTGCCCAGTTTGATTTAATAGAAATAAGATTGTGATCAGAAGACCCTAAGGGGGCAAAAATTGAGTATGAATAGTGTGAGGGGTTAGAGGTAAAACAAAGATCAAGAATGTTAGCAAGTTGATCGTGTCGATCAGGAACGCGTGTAGGATGTTTGATTATGTGTTCCAAATCATTAAGTAAGGAAAAGGAGAGTGTGTCTCAGCGCCACCTGGGTCATCCCTTGCAGAGCCAAGCCACTCTCTGTGATGTACATTGAAATCCCCTAGGTAGAGGATCTCGGTGTTGGGGTGTGTGGATAGCAACGACTCATGGCAAGAAGTGAGATAGTCAAAGAGTTCGAAATAGTTGGTAGAGTTGGGAGAACAGTATAGGAAACAAAGAAAAATAGTCACAGTAGGTAGAGATATTTTGAGCCAGATGACATCATAAAGGGGAGATTCAAGATCCGTGAGTCGGGCTATAGGTGTACGTGTGTTGCAGTAGGCGCATACACCTCCCTAAGAACGGAAGTAGGTATAAAGGTTGTAGTTAGAGACTTGAAAAGGTTTGGGTGAAGCTGCTTTGTTCAGTTGAAGTTCGGAGAGTACTAACAGGTCGGGGGAAGGGGTTGATAGTGGTGCTCCACAGAAGAAAAATTGGATCTCAGTCCGCGAATGTTGGAAAAATGAAGTGTGAAAAAAGCCGATCCTCCAGCAACAGCGGTGGCGTCAGTTAAGGCCCCAGTAGCTTGATGATGATCAGGTCGGCCCTGGGGTCCACAACCTTCTCGATCAGTGGGACCCATCCGAGAAGGCCCCGCTTCAGTATTAGTATCAACTGACATAGGAGAATAAAATAGAATGAATAAAACAGATCAAGAATGAGTTTTGTTTTATTTGTGGTGTTGTCAATAGTAAGAGAGACAGTTGAGACCCTGCAATTGTATGTAAATGAGGCAGAAAGATAGATCAGCAACCTGGTCACAATTTTCGTGATGCCATATGGCAGCAGGGTCTACCATTAGACAACACATTAGGCTTCCAGTATCTTACCAGGCGGTAGTACCTCCCTGTTTGGTAGCTGCCTACTACCTATATTGGATAGGACCTAAAAACAAAGGATTGCGCCTAGTTGAAACCTGTTTTGGCTCCGCCCATTTTAAGTTTGCCGCTCTCCGATTTCATTAGCCGTTGGTGACTTTGGTGCAACAATATTGATAATTACTCAAATATGATTGAAACCTTAATACCATTACTCATAAGATACTTTAAATAAGGGTGAACAAGTTGATTACAG